GGTCCTGGGATCGAGCCCCGCATCAGGCTCCCTGCTCAGCGGGAAGCCTGCTTCTCCCTCTCCCACTCCCCCTGCTTGTGTTCCCTCTCTGGCTGTCTTTCTCTCTGTCAAATAAATAAAACCTTTAAAAAATAATAAAGTGAATTGTTAACGGTTTTTATAGTTTATTTCACATTATTTGTGCTTACATTTACTCCCAGTGACATTTTTATACCCACTTTATACCTTGATCCTAACCACAGAGTCTGCAGAATTTCAGGGCAAAAGATATTCGTGTCTTGGCTTTCCCCTGATTTCCCTGTACCACCCACCGCCACTACTTATTTAGCCTCTGGGTTTATTTCTTCCTGTCTTCCCCCTCACTCCGACTTACCCTGTTTCTTTGAATCCTATTGTAATAAGCTTTGAGCCACTTCTCCCCTTGCTACTCAAGATATTTTATGCTGAATCTAATGAAGGAAAGAGTAAATGGCAAAAAAAATTTTTTTAGAGATTTTGTTTATTTATTTGAGAGTGAGAGCACACAGCAGGGGGAACAGCAGACAGAGGGAGAGAGAGAAGCAGGCTCCCCGCTGAGCAGGGAGCCCGATGCGGGGCTCGATCCCAGGACCCCGGGATCATGACCTGAGCCAAAGGCAGACGCTTAATGACTGAGCCCCCCAGGCAGCCCTCTTTGTACCATGATTTAATCTGCAGTGGAGACTGCTGCTCCTCTGATTCCTCTGGTCCCATAGGCATGGGTCCCATCTTTTATCATCTCGTCATAAGCGAGGGAGCCTCGGGCAATGCCAGAAGGAAGTCATCTAGACACAAAGCAAAGAGTATTTTGGCAATATCGGTTATAAAACAAACCATTAATACATGACTCTTGAATTGACTGTTCTGAATTATCCCTGTTTACTCCTCAGGTCAGTCTCTAGTTATAAAATATATTATCCTGTTGTTTTTCGCTAAATAATGGTTCCTCTGACTGTCCATGTGATTGGCATTGACCATGTTCATCATAGTAATGAATTAGGTACAGCTAGTTTAACTCTGCCTGCCACATGAAAGCTGGCACTGTCATCAGGGTGGGTGTCAGGTTTGAAGGGTGCCCTTTTCCCACTTCAGATTCATTTGTGATGTTCTGTTTTAAACTGAGGGGTATAGATTGACCTGCTTTATTTAAGCCATTGACCACCTCTAGGTCACCCTTAAGGTTTAAAAGCCTAGCTTCATGTTGAACGTTAACCAATATCATCAGGATGGCCAGATACTCAATTCTGGACTTGAAAATCTGTCTGTGGCCTCTAGCCCATCTGAAGTCTTGAGTAAATGCCTGTCACCATCTTAGGCTAATACATCATGGCCTAGGTATTCAATAAAGAAGCACTGTATCCTTGTTCCTCTCGAAGCCCCTCTATCACCATCAAAAAGCAAGATGGTTTCTCAAAAGATGATCCAGCTCTCTGCCTTTAGGTGGAAAGTCATTCCCAGTTCCCAGATGACACATCTTGAGAAGGTAGAACACAGATCACCTACTTCCAAAGGCAGAACTACCAACATCCAGCACTGCCTCCTGGGCCTGTGATACACACCTAGAAAAACATTAATTAAAAATAAAGTGAATTGTGGGGTGCTTGGGTGGCTCAGTCGTTAAGCGTCTGCCTTCGGCTCAGGTCATGATCCCAGGGTCCTGGGATCGAGCCCCGCATCAGGCTCCCTGCTC